TTTCGTAATTATATGTCTTAGATAAGACGGATATTTTATAATTTTTGTTAGAGCTGATAATTTGGTACTGTAATTCCTTAAAATGTGGTTACGACATTCTATTTTTTTAACTAATTGATGAGAGCCATAGGGAACTAATTCCAACAACCGTTTCGAAACACTACTGTCTCCATCACCTGTAATTTTTTTTTAATTATATTGAATGCTGTACAATTAATTAATTACAATATTACCAATTAATCTATTAAACTTCAAACCATGTAATTCGACACTTCTTACAAACCCCTCGGCTATACCATCAGCTTCCATGCCAGTCGAAGCTTTATCCCAGTTTAAAAAACATTTATGATCTCTGACAGTTAATTTAAGTGCATGTGCTCTTTCACACAAACAGCAATAACGGTTTCTTATTCCTACAAACAGTATTTTGTTTGTACGAAAACCAATGATTGTGGCCTATTTGTTTTCAATAGTCAATAATCATTAATATTAATTTATATTGTATTTATAATATATTATTAATCGCAATCATTTTTTTTTGGTACTTACAGCTCCAGACAGCGCATCATATTTTGTTTTATAACTGCGTTTTCCCCATTGACCGTCAGCTACAACAATACATAACGGTGTACCATCTGAATCAATATCCCCAGCTTCTATTGCCAAACGTTTTTCCTCAACTCCTGCCAATCTCATTTGTTCCCAAGCAGTCTGTTCAATATTTTGACTAATTTGCTCAAATAGTTTACCATACGTATTGCTTGATAAACAGGGAACGTCTATAATAGCTGAGAACTCGTTGAGTTGAGAGTAACCAATTCCAATTCCAATGCTGGCGGTAACAGTTGCCTTATTGACTTGAATATATGTCCCGGTTCTTTCTGATTCGATTTTGGTGGTTATTAGACACATTGAACATTTAAATATCCATGTACAGTAATATCCATTACGAATCTCCTTAACTAACTCTGAGTTCATAAAAGAGCACCCAAATCCACCATCGTGCATATCATTTTTTATTTGTTGAAAAATATAAAATATATCAACAATTCTACGACCAGTACTGAAATAATATTTAAGTATTTTTTAAATTATTAAAATTAACTGTTTGAGATAAAAGAAATAATGAAATATAATATTAAACATACCAATTTTTAT